CAACAATCTTCTTCCTCATTTTAAAATGTTATTTGCTAATTGACATTATTTAAGGACCATTAATTAATTAAATTATGCCGTACAATTTTCCTTCCTTGGAAAAAAACCAAAATGTTGCCAATTCCACTATTCTTTTGGCAGCCTATTTTACTGCGCTGTCTCCGTAGGAACAACATAATGCACGAATGGAATAGTCTCAAATTGATCTAGTCACATTGTGATACTTTTCATCATTTTTATGCTTGTTGCAATGGGTAGAGGCAGTAGTGATTTTCATTTTCGTAAGCCGAAATTGCATGTCGCTAAAGCCGGGAATGCAACGGCACACAAAGACTGAGTTCATTGGGTACATGCTGTCCTATCTTTCACTCTTCCATCTCTGAGTTGGGTCATAAAATAAGTCTATACACTACAGTTAATGGCTTTTATATGTTAAATTATATATTAAGCTTGGATTCTCTAGATGGAAATACATACAGCTTTCAAGAAATGCGAATGAAATAAACCCGAAAAATTTCCTTTTTTTAATGAGTAAGTGTAAGCTAGCGAATCGATGGTATGGATGAAGGCAATAAAATGCCTATAGCGCGGTAAGGCAGTTGCGTAGTGGAGAAACACAACTCAATAAATCGCAATAAAAACTCTCATTTACTAATCATTGATGTTGAATTACAATTAAATGTTTCAAAACGAATAAAACAAGATATTTTACTAATTTGAGTGCTGTTGGATGGAATTTTGCGCAACCGTCGTTCGTACCATGGGGATTTTCCAAAGGTCCTCTCAGGGCTCTTAAACGGAAGATTCCATATATATGTGCTTCCGTGGGTGTCTAGCGCGCGCGTAGCGTGCTTCAGAATGACTCATCTCGTATGGGAAGAGTCAAGCTTCAGTTCGAAATTGAGAAGAGCCGTAGAATTGCATTTTAACTTTTAAACCCGATGTTTACGCATCCTCGTGCTGACGTATTGGTGAGAAATTGGGGTATTTGTGGAAGCATCCGGTAGTAACGAACACGGACGTAATCGATAGCTCACAGAAGACATCAGTTTCAAGTGTCAATACATTCGCTTCTTGATTGCACTCTGACCCTGTACTTATGTAAGTAAACGCACCAAACTGAAGTCCCTATTTTCTTAAATAGAGTAGTCTGGGCTTACTAACAGATACATAGGATTTGAGTGTCTACCTTCTAACCTAAATTTCAGAAATACTTAAAATAAAATGATACGTAGCGAAAATTGTTGTCTCACTTGATCTGCCAATACGCAATTCTGTTAGCATCTACCAATGTACATTTGCATAGAATTAATACGTTCCACAGCCGATCAACAACCTAACGCGTTTTGCCAACTGCACTGGAATTTTTTTGCAGTTGCCTTGAAGACGTCAAGATGTGGAAATACCTTCTATTCCCTCATTTTCTTTAATTTAAGTCAGCGTAATTGAGTGCACTTTTCAAGTACTTGTAATTATTCGTGATTAAATGAAGGGAAATTTGTAACAACGACCACTTTTGACCAAAATTATCACCATGATTGTTCATTTGCTAGAGTTATTTCAGACAATTTGAAAAAAAAATTTAGATGATTTCAAAACAGTAACCCTCTCATAACGCCGTCTAGATATTTTGCTGAAATGTTGATGAGTGTGGTGAAACCCCCAATAATTTGAAATGCTAACTTCCCACTGAGATTAGACTAAGTAGATCTGAGTCGCGAAATATGGAAACAAAGACTTCGAGAGAATTCGAATAAGTGCATTTTTTTCTTTCTACATATGCTCTAAAATTTTGATTTTAATAGATCTGAACACTGAAGACCTCCGATAGTTGTTATGGGGACCCCAGTATCAACGGCTTTCCAAACTGTTTGGTAAATGCCATTTTGAACGCCATTCACAATTGTGTTCAAATAACATATTTAATACGAATATCTAATAATACCTTACGTTAATCAAACGGACATAAAATTATATTTCTTATGTGGGAAAAATAATTTTCGCAAATTCGGTTCTCAGACTAAGTTACTTCTTGCAAAATGCTGATCGAATGAAATAACCAATTGGAATTTATTACATTTCTTGATTTTCATTTTATTTTTAAATATTTTATTTTGCTTGAGAGATTCTTTTTATGGTTTACAGTACCGGCCATGCTTTAAATATTTACTATTTAAATGAAGCCTACTTTCTTTCCAATTTATTTCTTCACATGACTTTATCCGTCATTTTATGTCGCCCACTTCTTTAATAATGAATAATTGATAAACATATCTGGCTACATGGCAGACGCTTATACTCTCTGGATCGTTGATGACGAAATTATCTGCAAATTAAGATTGCAAAGTACCAGGACCCATTTAGGCAAAAATTATTATTAATAATTAAATATTTAATTACAATAATTCAATAAAATTGGGTGGAAGAGGCCCGAATACTCGCGTAATAATGTCGAATGATAGGTCGTCTAGGATAATGCAATTGATTGGCTGCCTGGCAAACCAGTAATTGCAGTCGTGACGAGGTCACACTCCCAGGCATGAACGGTGAAAATCAATTATTGATAATCCAGTGAACTTCGTCCAGGTGAACTGAAACTATTCGAATCTGTCTGGTAATTTGGGTTTTGAATTTGGAAAGATAATGTTTGTTAAGAGGACAGTTAAGATCAAAATTTTGAAGGAACGAAAACTCTCCCGAGCCTATGAAGCGTATGAAAACCAATTCAGGGAATTATTTGCTTGTAGATTGCGAGTACCAATGACCGTTATTAAATTTTCAACTGCACATTATCAATAGCTCATTTATTTTTTCATTCCCCACTCATGATACATTTGACAATTTAAGCTAATCACCTTTTGCATCTATGAAGAAATGTTTCTGCTTCCCTTAATACCACTTTAGACTTAATTGTCAGACTAAGTATTTGCATATAAATATCAAAATTACAACCAATCAATCTGCATTTTTGATTTGGCAGTTTTCTGACCACCGTTTAGGACAAATGCATGACACCAGTTAATCACGAAATACCTGACCGAATTTGAAGAATCAACAAACACATGTTGACCACATGATTATTTTAAGTTTAAACGGAGTGTAAGAAGCGACTTATCAAAAAGAAAATTAATGTCAACTTGCACAGTCATGGTATTTGCCAAAAGATGTCCTTTACAATCAGCAATATTAATTTGTGCACACGAATTGGGTAACTTTGCAAGTGACCAAAAATTTCATGTTATTTTAGATGGTTATTGAAAAGGAATAAACCAGTTGAGAATACTTATTATGAATGAATAGGAAATGTCATTTCAGAGGGCGTGGTGATATGTATAAGCGGACATATTTCATTTCATTTAAGTGAACCGCAAGTGTTGAGTTTAATTAATGAGAGTTTGGGTAACATATACATAGCATTTTCTTTACTCATGCTATGGTACTGTTGTTATTTTGTGCCCAAAAATATCACAAAATTTTAATATCATGAAAAAAAATAAAATCTACCCACTATTAGGTTAACAGGGGGTAAAACGAAGTATATCACAATATATTTGGTGTAAAGTAGTGTGACGAAAACTACCTTATTCAATTTTAATTTGTATGTAGGTTATGCAATGTCTACTAAACATCCATTTCAATGCACAAGGTTCCAAAACTTAAATATTGTGATTTGTTTTCATGTTCATGATAACTGCCCAAATTCCTGTCTTTAATATTCACTCTCTTTTGATTACCGGTTGATTTTTTAGGGAGAATGGCGTTGTCAATATACTCAATACTTCTTCTAGCGAAGGTTTGAAGGTCTTTAACTACAAGCCGAAACCTAGTTGATACAAAATGTCAAGCGTTGAAATGCAGTTTTCTCTAAACAAACTTATAAGCTTGCTTAGTTAATCACTTAATTTGGCATTTGTAGCTGTCCGTTCTCTTAAAGAACTTAGTCAGGAGCATGAATTTCAACAAAGAAATGCAAGCCGTCTACTTCTATCCCAAGTTCTCAACTCTACTCATAAAATTGAAAAAACAACACAGCACATTGGGCTTAATCTTTGAGTTATATATAGATTCACGAAGCCTCTTTATAAGATGTACTGCATTTGCGATACGTCGGCCAAGGAATGATTGGCTACACCTGTCGTCTTTTCCACATGAAATATAATTGACGCCATGTACTATGCTAGTAGCGTCAAACACAAGATATAGGTTATAAGAGTGATCTACTCAGATGCTAATATCAGTAGCGGTCATAGATCATGTGACGGATAAAAGAGGGTAGAAAAATTTTGGATGTTTTGAAGACAAAAAACGACCCCACCTTGGAGATTATTGGTCAATGGTTCAATACTATGTACCACATAAAGGTCTGTTCCACTAAAAATATTTAAAATCGGAAGGTATATTAGTGAAAAAAATTCCATTTAAAATTGCTAAGTTGAATACTAACCGCGTCAGGGCAAAGTAACCTTAATATTCTTCCAGGCACGAATAATTCCTAAATGACCCAGCCAATTTGCGAACAAGCATGATGGCTATTTCTACGTCAGTGGATATCTAGAAAAGGACACAGGGAGATAAAAATATCGCACTATGATTTACCGCCAGTAACCTAGGGAATATTATTGCCTCTTCAACAAAAAATACTCAATTCAGCTGAGAAAAAAGGCGGAAAATTAAACGCAACTTTTCATTATTGAACACACACACACACATCATTTTAGCAACTTCTGTTGCAATGTGGATTTAAGAAAAAAACAATGTATGTCTACTTACTTACTTACTTACTTTCTTACTTAAGGAAGCATTTACAAAATTAGTGGTGAAAAATTGAAGACAAATCAGTCCTATGATGAGGAAGAGAAAGAGCGGTGGGGGGGGGGGGGGGGGGGGGGGGGGGGGGGGNAAAGGGGGGGGGGGGGGGGGGGGGGTTGGGGAGGAGGCGGTGGCTGAGAAGAAAGAGGAAAAGAAAAAGTGCTATCAAGAAGGAGGCAAATAACCAAGGTTTATCTCTGCATGAAGAACCAGTGGTATTCAGGCAGGAAAGGCGGAGCGGCTTTAGAAGAGAGAAATCTGCAAGCAAGAGTGATAGTAGAGAAGAAGACGAGGGAGGCGGACGGGCGGGCATTGCGGAGAGAGGGAGGGAGAGAGGAAGCAAAGTGCATTTTATTCCAGTTGCTACGACAGGCTGTTTAGAACGGTTCCTCTTGCGCAAACCACCCTTTACAGTGAAATGAAATTGAGTCAACTATGAATGAAGTTATGATCAAGTGAAAAATTTACTTAGCAGATGATGATTTTCTCTTTGACATTTTTGCAAACTCAATCAAACACACAGAAGCGATGAAGAAAAGAGTTTCGAATTTGTTTCATTTTCAAGAAGGACAGAGGCGGCTACTATAATATTTTCAGTTTTGTGCGACTTTTCTTCCTCACATTTTAAGAATACCTTGGTGTGCATAGATATTCTTGGGCATATGTATTGCAAGTATTTGGTATTGAGCAGTTGAGTGTAGCCAATTTAAATCTCTCAATCTGGTCGCATGGGCTTTGATTTTGCAGCTGATATAGCCAAATTGCATTGATTAAACGCAAAATAAGATCACTTTCAAGTCCAATTCTATGGGGGGAGGGAGGGAATGGAAAAAAGACGGAGATCAATCATTGGTAACTTTCATTTTGGATTATGTTGAAAAGTTAAGTGAGGAGTTGTAGAGAAGGAATTAATGAGTTCAAGAAACATTGAAGAAATCAAAGATTATTCTGCAGTGTTGAAAGTATCATCATCAGAGCATGTTCTCTTATCCGTAGAAACACGCTTTAGGCCACACAGATTGATTCAATCCGAAGGGATATAGATTGGCAGCTGGAAAATAATGCAGTAAACAATAAAATAACAGCTTAACAATATAACGTTTTTAGTTACAATAATAGCATTTATTAAAATTCGCCTGTTAATTTTAATTCTGTTATTCTGAAGATTACGTGCAAATGCATTAATTATCCTCCCCCCCCCCCAACCCCACTTCCCTCNCCCCCCCTTCCCCCCCCCCCCCCCAGTCTTCCATTCGGTTCTCATAGTTCGTTGCAATCGTTGTAATATCAAAATTTCTTTCTGCAAGCTCGCTACAACTTTCTGAAGCATTAAAAATGCACAAATTCGGAACAGATGTCGCAAGTTTGCGTGATAGGAATGCATGCGCATTTATAGATGATCCTCTTCCTCTTTCTGCTCCTTCTTCAACCGAACTCGGCTTTAAATTTTTGCTCAAATTATAACTGCACCCGAGTGAAGGTATGCATTATCAGATTTCTTGGAGAGAATTCCAATGAAATTTTCGTGCTACACTTATTTCCACAATTTATTTAAATTTAACTAGTTGAAGTGCACTATACTTATTATTGCCCACAGTAATGCAAACAAAAATGCCACAACATTTATGTTGGCGACCAAATGACTATGAATAGGAACAAGTTCAACAAATGGTGGAATGGAATTGTTTCAAAAAGATACAGGAAGCAACGCCAATGTATAAAAATTCCAAATTTTCTAATTTTAGGATTCAGACTGACTGTATTTATTAAATTAAAATTTCAAAGTTTGCTCCCTGGATTGAGACAAGTCCTTGTTTGTGATTTTAAGTGTCTACTAAACGGTTGCTTTCATTGTTTTATTCGAAATTTTGAGAAGGCAAAACTTTATCGAGGGAAAAAATGCAATAGGGATAAAAATATACTTTTAATTAAATTTTCTTCTTTAAGATGAATTGAAAGGCGTTTTTATTTCAAATTTAGATTTCTAGCAATCAAAGTGACAGTTTTAACTCAAAATTTTATTTTCTGTTAGTTTGTTCGATTATCATGAAATCGTACTCTGTTCATGTGATACCATTATTATAGCGATTTTAAACTTATTGATTACCAAATCCCCCCCCTCCTTGTTAAGGACACACCTACCTGTATTTCAAAAATAAGCTACATCAGTTTGTACGAATCAGACATTCCGTGTTTATTTTTAAACTAAACGCTACTTTCCTTGGCAACTTGAAATAGAAGGACTTAGTTGTGACTCTATGTGCGAACATAGATTCGTAATTCTGTCTCGCCACAAGCTGCGTTCTCTTAAGCCAAATATCTACCAAAGTATCCACATATTTCATTATAAAAGGTGACTTCTGCTTCGAGAATCGCCTGCGACATATCACTGTGTTCCAAATTCTCCTGTCTTGAAGCACAGCGGACAATATTCTTGACTGTTTCACACCTATATGTCATATTTATACTGAGTTTCTACATAAAGCTTTAGATATCTCATATGGCTTAAGAAAGTCTGCAGTTGAAATTAAATTAGCTCAAAAGTTTTGATTGTACTTAAAAATCTCATCTCAACTTGTCTATTCCCTCGATCAATACCCTGGATGTGCTGAAACGTGGCGGACAACTTACCATCAATCGGATGGCCATTGAGCTGGCCATTAAGCAAAGGAAGAATCATATCGAACGATTGAGCGGGAGCCGTGGCACCGTAGTTGAGGACTCCTAGACCAGCCATCTGATAGACAGCAGCTAGTGAGTGAAGATCCAGAGGGGTAGCGGTAGCCGCTGGATTAGCCTTTTGGGCTGCTGCCGCCAATTGAGAGTGAAGGTAGGCAGCTGCTGCCTGGGGGTTTGCATGTGGCGCGGTCGTGTGGTCCTGTTGTATCCATGGAAAACAATGAAATTGATATAATGGAGAGGCAAGTGCCGTGGCTGCGGCAACAGCTGGAGAAACCTATTAAAATAAGAAAAATAAAAAATAACTCCACTATTTGATGTCCCATACGCATCACAGTCACATCCACACCCTTCATCAAACGCCATCCTGAAATTAGCTCCCTTTCAAAAGGTAAACCGCTTAGTAATATTAGTCAATTAGTTGGCTTCTGGCTTTCCAGTATCTCTAAAGCTCCAACCTTGTCTGTGGGTCTTCTCCATTTCCCTCTGTAGGCCACCAGCCAATTCTGAACAATTTCATGAAAAGTAACGCTTCACTCCCACCAAATAAGCTGAAAATTAACTAACCGGCATAACTGCTGGAGCTGTTAGTTGTGAAGGCGCAGTAGCTGAAATCTCATCGCTGGACTTTGGTGTTATATCCACGGGGCTTGGACTCATGAGCGAGGCACCAGAATTGACATAGTTCGCCATCTTTGCTTGATCGAACATACTTCGATCGGATATGGGAGTTGCGTTGAAAATGTCGTCCACCATTTGTTTGTGGTGTTGTTGATTCTTTATCGCCTGCGTTAACTGTTGTTGAGCGTCCTCACGCATAAATTGTTGAAATAGAGGCAGAGTGTTATTTTCCGATCCAATTGACTCACTGTTGGGGAGAAAAAAAGTGCCAACATTTTAATAAACTTGGAATCAATATGCCCATTAAAATTGCTCTCTTTTATGAGCAGAATATTATAACTAGAAGTCACGAACTGGAGTGGTTTTATACATATATATACGCGTTTAGGTATTAAAATAGATGTGTGCAAATAAAATCTCTCAGCAGTAAACCGTCGTAAACGCCATTTGGACTGTCATAATGTCACTCGCTACAGTTATTTAAATTAGGGAGGAAATTGCATTAAAAAAACTAAAATAAAAATCAAATAAGGGTTCTTCCACCAGTAATGTCCAGAATTCCATTGTTTCTAAGCTGTTTTAACTAAGGCAGTTCAATAGAATTAATCGTTTGAAGGATAAAACGTTGGGACATTTGCCTGCATCATTTGTGAAGAAACAGGAAACTTGTGCACATATTCCTGACGTGGAAAATCGAGTGTTCCGAATTTGCAAAATCGTTAGCATTCAAACTCCCCACCCCCCCACCCCATCCCCCTTCCCAAAAAATTGACTCAATGAGGAGAGAGATTGGGCCATTGACAGTTATCCCGCAAGCAGGTTAACGAAGAATAAGACTTAGTCACAGGTAGAAGTGAAAGAACATTAGCACGCACAAGTTTTGGCAATTATCTACGAAGTTTTGCAGTTGACATATGTTTAATGATCATCGTGATTTCTGAATAAAACTCTTCACTATCATGAGAGGAGAGGACTGAAACCCAGACAAATATTCTTGCGAAAGCTCGGCAGATGAATGAAGGTCTTTAAAGTAAAGTTTTACATTGCAGAACTATTTCAAAGCTCCAACTTTATAATTTTAATGAAAGAGTTATGGTATGTAGAATTGAAAATTGCGAAAATATCAAATCATGTTGAATGCAATGAAATGCTTAACGCATTTTATCATGAGATGCCTATGAAAACGGAACTGAAACTCTAAAATTTGTTTCACCAAAGGCCATAATGCGTAGTTTAATCATTTTTCAAAGTCTTGAATGAGAGAATTATTGTTTCCGAATTTTTCAAGCATCACTTTAATTGTTTTGTAATTAATATGGAAACCCACAGCTTACTCTATATTAAATTTATAATATCTACAATACTTATTAAAACAAATTAATACACATAATTGCTGTTTTAACAATAATAACTCAATTCATATTATTCAAATTTAATCAACTGATTTAATCATGAGTTTGGTTGAATATATCTATTGAAAATTGCCTTGTATCAAGAAGTTTTGTATTTTCCAAATGCTGATAATTTACACTCTATATATTTAATTCGCATAATAAATTGCAAGCCCTTTCAAAATATACCCCTTGTACTCAGCATGAGATGGATTGCATTAGCAGATAATAATCAATAGGTAATAATATTATAATTCAATTTGAAGGATAGATAGTGAGCAATTCGTTAGAATCGCATTTTTCACCCACCTTTTATGCTCACGGGCTCGTTGTCTGTCCGCCAATTTGAGTTCGAGCGGCCGTTTAGCCCCGGGAAGAGTGATTTTGGCCTTCCTTATACCATCGATTGCACGTTGAGCTTCCTCGGAGGTGAGATAACGCACAAATCCAGTTCCTAAATAATTCGTTAACATTAGACTCTAAAACCGTGGAAGATTTAAATGGATGCATTAATTCACAAAATAAATTCATTTAAATATGAAAATGGGTAGCACAGCGGACAAAATGTATCTCTGTAGATTCCAGGCCCATGTGTAATTGACTTACCATTAGTGCCGAAAAGCTTACTTGTTAACTCCGATTAACAAGATTGGTGGGTAACTGCGAGTTTCCTTTACGAATGGCCTTGGGATACCTATCGTTTACTCTTGGGACCTTATCTCTAAATATGTTGTCATATTCTACCTTTTTTCATTGCTAAACCATTAGGATAAGTAGTACAGCGATTCAAAATGAAGAAGAGTTAATAGTGAGAATAATACAAACCCTTCTTCCGTAATTTGGATATATTAATATCCACATGCTTTCAAGTTGAAGAGTCTAATTTAAAAAAAGATGCGATGTTTACTCCTCGTCATTTGATTTTCATTTTTATTGGTTATGTGGAGGTCATTAGATGTGCTTATGGGATTAAAGTGTTTGATCTAGTTCCGCATTTAGTCGTGCCAATGAATATATTTGTATTTTCTACGGTTTGCTTAATTTAAATTTCACCTTGAGTAACAAACAACTGACGCAAACAATTCATTAATGAACTACGTAAGAAAAATATGATTGAAAAATTTTAAATTGGTGCTAGGAATTCTCTTTTTTAAAATATATCCTGTTTGAGACATCTATGCAAAAAATACTCTTTTGCAAGTAATTCAATTAAAGGTGTTAGAACTTTGAACTAATTTTAGCTGAATAAATTGCCTTTTACAAAAAAATACTCGCATTTTATCCGAAATAGTGATAAAACTAGCTTTGTTTAAGATTAAATGACAAAAGATCAAATTTACCGCGCTACATCAAAGGAAAAATGAATTAACTCATATCATGGAATATGTAAACTAAGCTACTAAATTTTCGCCATAAGTAATGCCCTCTCAAACAATTCAGAGAAACATATTTTAACACTTCTGCATTTGTGTTTGTTTGCTTTCGCATTTGTTTAAGTGGACTGGGCATTGACTTTTTGAACCCTGTTGCTGCACCTTATTTAAATCTATTTAAAATCTGCATTACAAACTACCTTTAAAAAGCCATTACTTAAAATTGAATTAAAAAGATAAATGATCTCCCCAAACAGCCGTAACTATCCTTGAAAACTGGATATGCTTTCAGTTAGTAGCTTACAGTGTCCCAATGAAAGGAATGCTTGCATACTTGTTCAAATGTCTTCATCTATGCAGATGACCTTATGAAATTTTGAATATGTAGAAGTTAATTGCCAATTAAAACGCGTCAGAGGTCTCCTTTATTTGCTAATAGATAATTTGGTGAAAGTTTATTTAAAACAATTGCATTTCAACCGTCTTGGTTTTATAACTTTCAACAAAATACGTTTAAACCAATTTAACAAATTTAAGAATTTCGGAAAATTCATTCAACAACAGCTTATCCACGTACCTTAAATAACCATAACGGTAAATACAAACGCAAAACGCTTTCTTGAAAAAGGTATAATCTAATCATAGTTAGCACTTGAAACTACACCAGATCCGCATATACAAGCTTTTTTCTTCCACACTTTCTAGCGTCTATATGCGTTTGTGGTAATATTTTTTGCATTTTGACCACTTCTTGGCAAAGGTGCATATTATTTTCGATTCACAAAATTTAGATAGCAGAAACTCTATCTGGAAATTGACCTTAAGGTACCTCGAGATATACTCACCAGTACAGGTATTCGTCGATCTCCTAGTCATGACAAGGGCAGAGGTGATTTTGCCGTATGGAGCGAAGATTTGCTTGAGGGTTTCAACGTTATCTGAACTCCAGGACTCTGGGATATTCGTCACATAAACATTCAATGGGTCCTTTTCTGACTCCTAAATAAAGACATGTTGTCAACTGAAGGCCTAATTTCACTATAGGCATAATAAAAGCAAAGAAACTTGCATATGCAAAGTTCACATATTGGTTGGAGTTTTGAAGTTTAATATGCTGCATAGCTACAAGAGCAGCCTCATTTGAAACGAAATCAATAAATCCATATCCTAAAGGGAAAGTAAATTAATAATGGTAAAGACGAAAAGAAAAAAATATGTCTACGAAAGCATTATTGATTTGGGAAGCTCATTTATTAGTTCTTTTTAAATTCATTACCATGGTGGGCATTTTTGTTTGTTTGATGAATGTCAACTAATTTCTTTTAAAGCGCTTACCTGATTTTGAATAAATGCAGTTTTCTAATATGGGTAGAAAATTTGAATGAAATTGTCTATCTCCTGGAGAGAAAAGATTGAAAACAAATAAAGCTTGCTATAGAAACACACAAAAAACCGAAAAAATTCAAAGATTCAACAACGAGGCAAAAATGGGCGAAATTTTTATGATTTAATAAATGCGGATGAATGCAACGTGGATATGAAATATGCCTTAAGAAGCGGTGAGTAGAGTTCTATGCCACTAATCTTCTTAAAAAGGTATTCTCTCATCTTATCATAACCCGCCTCGTACTTCATTACGAATTGATGATTTTATGATTTTTTTTTAAAAATTGGAATTCGTAAAATAAGAGGTTTAGTGATTCAATCACATTCCTATCCAAACTAATCGTTAGTCTGCCAGTGGCAGCAAATATTTATTATTTATTTATTTCGAATTGCAGGCTTTATGATAGTTATCATTAGCCATTTAGCTGGCTTTGAGATTCACAGAGAGAAGGGGGAACAGAAAAGTGATTCAAGGATGCAAAAGGGATAGACAGACACAAAGGCAGAGTAAAGGTAAGCTGAGTACTGTAAAAGTGGTGAAATATGACATAGTGTCAGGTCATAGTAGTTAGAAGTGGTTGCTGAGGTCCCACTTTAGTTGACATCTCTTCTGAGGCCAAAAATGAAAAAAACTTAAATCTCGCCCTTTAATGAATCTTTGAATTAAAGACCATATTTATAATATTTGTTCCTGAATACTAATAACAAGTATCAATGACGAGACTTAAATACGAGATGTGGTAGAACGTTAGCCTCAATAGTGCAGTTATTGTGACGTTAAGTTACTAACTGATTTAGTCATTAGGTGATGGAAAAATTTATTCAGGTATGGTGGTCGGTTTGCCTTTTTTAGTGAATAAGCTAACATAAAATCAAGGTTCCGACAAGGTTCAACCTAGTAGGAAATTGATTTCCACTCAATCCCCTTTTTGCGCATGCAAAATATGAAAATGTTTCAGCTTATTTGAAAATAGGAGGAGAAAAATTCTCACATTGCACCCCAATCGGAAGAGAGGAGTTAATTTTTGCGGACATGAGTCATAGGCTTTGCAATATCATCACGTGTGACTCTGTCAAGACTACTGTCCCAGTAGCTACTGCATTGAAGACACGGGAATACTGCCTCTCTCTTATAATTGCTTCTCCATTCGGTCGCTCTTCATAAAAGCAAATGCCATTAATCCTAATACTTCCCTGAAGGCCATAAATGTACCCTGAAAATTGTCGCTAGTGGCGTCAACCTCTGAGCTAGATGTAAATATGAAGGAGAGAGAAAGCGGTAGACAGGTAGCTGTAAACAGTTAAATTGGAATTTTGAAGTTGCAACTAAAATGAAAACCACAATTCACAATTTAAACAAGATCTCAGAGGACAGTAAGAGTATCCGATCTCACAATGTGAGATTTAGGCGTACTCCAACTCTTACAAAAATTAAAATTTGTTAAAAATAAAAAAAGTGGAAAGGGGCATGCCTTGTGGCTTGATTTTATTATTTCAAATTGAAAATCACTCAATGAAGGAAACCTTCAAGCTCTGAGTCTGTTTTGATATAAAAAGATCTAAGCAATAAGTGAAAATCAATTTTGCATGCATTAATTAACTGTTTTTAATCATGAAATAATTAAAGCCAACCTCATGGACTCTGTTATGTTGGGATCATGTAAACTGCTCAAAAACGATATTCGATTGCCACGGTTTCTCTCTTTTTGGGTGAAGTAATAAAACAAATCAGTGATACAGACCAATAAGAAATGGAACTTGTAAAGAGATAATTGAAAACTAATCCTGATACAGTAAATTAGGAGTTCTGTGCTTTGAATCGCTAATAAAAAATCTACCAATTAAATGAATATTCCACTGTCTTGGTTCGTAAGCCAAATGATATAAATCTTAATGCGTTCTCTTCTCTATCCCTTTTGTTAAACAAACCAAATATTTTTTGCAAAAAAAATCAAATTTTTTTGCACGCTATAATAGTGAACTCTAAGTAACTACATTTTTATTGTACCTCAAACAATTTGAAAACCATCACTATGTTATTGCTAGTGTTGTATTAATGAATTTATTGTTTCATTTGGCTTTGTTAATGATGATTTCCGATAATTTAATAGCTTTTTTTAATTCAGGTCGAAGCAAATTTATCGATGGTAATAAAAACAGTTACCAGAAGTAGAAGAAATCTTTTCCCTTTCCTTCGAAGTCATATTTATTATTAAAGCCAAAGAAATATTGTAAAAAAAAGATTCAAACAGAACACACACTATAATTGAATATAAGCAATGGAAGTCCAGCCTGTGCGGTCATTACTTGATTTAATTTAGTCAAAATCAAAATTGTGCCTCCTCCTTCCAACAGGAACTCAATGGAAAAGCAATCTTTATATCAAACAGAAACGAACGTTGTAGAAATTGGAATTGACTGTAAATGGGAAAGGACTACGAATGAAAACACAGTTGGAGAAATTTTAGGTTTGAAAATGGTGTTGTGGAATTTCGAACGTGCAACATCATCTTTACTTCCACAATACTAGCTCAACCTGGCGCAATCAGGTGACTCACACGAGCTGTGTCTTGATATTAAGTACGAATACGCCTTCCTTCAGATTTCTATTAAAAGGATGAATACTTTGGAAAGCCAACGCAGAAGCAAATAAATTGTTAAATACGAAAGGGCGTGTTCTACCTTTTGTTCATTAGCTTTGATTGTAAGTGACTTTATCAATAAAATGTCAAAAAAAATGAATTAAAAGTTTTAAGTTGCATTTAAAATTACCTTCTCCATCGTTATTCACAACCAATTTTACAGAGCGAATTGCTGAGGCGTCTGGAACAAGACTCACTAGGTCATTCTCAGACATGGATTTTGGAAGACCTCGAATGTATAGGTTGGTTCGCGATGAATGCTGAAATAGCAGAAGTAAATAAAACTTTTTGTTACGAATTAAACTGAAATGAGGAGTTAGAAACATGTCGGACAGATCTTCTTCTACTTTTAACAACAACTTATGCCCTCCTTATTACTGTATACGAATAAAAATCTCATGGATACTAGTTAACTCACGTTATAATGAGAGCAGAAATTATATGGAGTGAAATAAGGTTGGAAAACTTACAAAATGATGTGTGCTAATGAATTGTTCACAAATGAACCTTAATCACAGAAGAAGGTATGTTTTATCACTAAATTTTACTAAAGTTCCAGCACAGTGAATTTGTCTTTTCCAAGGTGACAGGCAGCATATTCTTTCACAAATCTTTTTTTGTAAATATAAATACTCATCCTTTTTATAATTCTACTCAAACAAATCAATAAATACTTTTTTCTTGAGTGCTTTAGCTGAAAGTATTTCATCAATTTGTGATTTCTGAAATTGTCTGAAAAATAAAAATGATAACTACGGTTTTGAATCATATTTTGCCTGCTTTTGACCTATAGCTGTTGATAAGTGATGGTGATTTTCACATAGTTTAGGAAGTTCAAAAAAGAACTTTGAAAATATGACTCTTCTACCCGCATTCATTTGATAGCCAATTGGATGAGCATTCAAAGAACAGCATTACCGAAGCTTTGACATAAAAAATACACTAACAAAGCTTAATTTATTTTTAAATTAAAGTTTTCGCTGCTCTGTAGATATTTAGGATAATTGTTATTGTGTGTTCAATCCTGAGTTATTGTTTGATTTGAAGAAGCTTCGATTAAATTGTGGTGTTAATTAGGTTATCAAAGTGTCTAGTAAAAGGGAATTTAACATGTCTGGCAATATTCACCATACGATAGCAAAAGTATTATTAACATTTTAAGAAACGATAAATTATTAAGTACTTTACAAAAGATTTAAAAGGGCCTGCCTGGAGAAATAAATGTTCATTCTGCGTAAATTGAGGCTGATATTTCCACCGCCTTTCGCTGCTACTGTTTCATATATTTCTACTTAATATAACGCCCCATCTCCTGTTAATAGTCTCTCTCCTTTAGTAATTAGAAAATCGATTCCACAATGACCCAAAGTAGCATTCATAAGTGATAGGATTAATAACACTAATCACTCTCAAGCACTCAATAGAATCGTTAATATCTAAAGTTGTTCAATTACTATTTTTACCCATTCCACCTTGTCAAATCAACAGACAGGCCAGAAATCTTATTTAGTCCGTCTTAACTGGTGTCGTCATTAGGGGTTTCTGTCAAGTATTCTCTACTCAGGGCACGATAAAAGTAACTACGCCAATAAATAATCATCAAGTTCTATTCTTCTTGATTTGATTACTTTGATTGCAGTATGGATGCACAACTTTCTCCCAAAGTAGAAAGAAAACTTCTCAAATCACGTAGAAATGAGATATTGGAAGCAATTATTGATTCTTCATTGGTTAAGTACCGGATGACACCTCATCTTTTGCCCCACCCCAAACAATTTGCTTTCTCAGAGCGCGAATTTAATTTACAAGACTTAAACGAAACCAATAGAAGATTATGTGGGCACTTACTACCTCAATCCGATTTAAAAACCTGAAACTCTGGAGAACATCGAAGAGGATTCAAGGTGATAAGAACACCCGAGTTTGTAAATCAGCTACTTCAATTTCGATATTCGTGAAATTTTAATTTTTTTATAAATATAAAAAGCTAAAGTGAAATTTGGAGAAAATACTTAAAATTTTCTTAAAGCCCTGTTGTTTGTAGGCACTGTCTTTGCAAATTTGATGGGGAAATTAATACGGCTATAAGAGAAAGCGCAAAATTTTATTCCTTTATGAAGTTAAGTAGAAAGTAAATCACGAAATTTCATTACAGTTGTGATTGTCTATACTCAATTCCATAATTTGTTCAATAAATAGATGAAGGACTTTTAATAGATATAAATAGACTGGCATAAATAGATAATCAATTCACCTTCTTAGATCTAGATGCCGTCTTGCTACGGGAGGAGCTTGGTGGATTCGAGCTTGAAACTCCAGGTCGAGAGAGAAGGGAACCATTCCGATTACTCGATACTCCCGGTACGGAGACTTTGGTGCTACTCGCTACACTATTAGTGGTTGATACATTGGGATCTGCTTGTCTCATGGAAGGCGATGATGGTTTTCCATTTCCACTAGACGAACTGTCATCACCAAGTGGAGAACCTGTACTCATAGAACAATCGTTGTCCATCGGTTTCTCTGGATCGCCATTTTGAAGAGATGTGAAAGGCGGAGAATACGTAATAGAGACAGTTGAATCTTTTGACCTTCGTTGATTATTGGTAGAATCTGTCGCTACTTCGTCCATTCCGTATTTGCTCACCGGTGAAGAAGGATGATGTCGTTTAGGGCTACTGGCTGCGGTTGTAGACTGAGATATTACTGTTGCTGACATAGATTCTGCAGTGAAATTGATATTTATTTTAAACGATTTCAATTAAATATCCGCTTAATAATTTATAATTAGACCAACAAATAAATGTCCACGCAAATTGGTGAGAAATTTTTGGCCGCAGCATCGTTCCACTTTAAATTAGCCTGAGGTGCTTATAATTAAATCACAAATTTCATTCTAGCAAAGCCTAAAAATAATTTAATCCCTAGAGAATGCAAAATTACACTTAAGAACCCACTATATTTGATAAAGGAAACCAGGTTTAATTTCACTTTTTTAAATAACTTTCTTAATTCTAAAAATACAATCTAAAACGTCATTATGAGTTGCTTCTAAAATAGTAATTTAGATGTAAGCTTGATAGGTGGACTTAGAAAAATGATAAGGAAAAGATTTTACAAATTAATTTCGATCCTATAGATTGCCGTTTAAAAATTTATATTTTGAATATATTTTGAGAAAATATCATTAAATTTTTTAACACTTTGTTCATGAATAATGTGTAAGAAGTAAATAATGATTAAAAGAAATCTGTTCAAAATAACAAAGGGGAAGAGATCAAAAACGATACTTCACATTATCACGTATTCTTAATTAAATGAAGTTTTAAATAAAGTTTTATGACATTCACTAAATCCTTTGCTTATTTTCCAAAGATAAAATTTAATGATTCGTCTCACTGATAGTAATAATAATTGCATCCAATATTCAAGACTTAGTAAAACTTATTTTTGATCGAGCACACTATGTTTTGGTACGATAATTGAGTTTTTTTCAAATTGTTAAGAAAACCAATTATCTTTGCATGTTACTCTGTGAGTTAATTCTTTAGATCATTTTAATTGAACGGCGTTACATAAGATGTTTTCATTTCAAGATTAATGCAATTATTTAAAAGTGATAGACAAGAATAAGCATAATTTTTGGATTCACCTTCGTGGGTCGAAGATGATATCAAAAAAGGTAGAGATTCAATTCATAGTATTTACTGTTGAAAGTCACAATCAAAGATGCATTTTTCATTGTTCTAGTTCTCTTTCTATTATACCTTTGAATGAATCATGAGCAAGTTTTCATCAAGCACCCATAACCATCAATTAAGTGTTAACTACGGGCAGTGACCTTAATAAAACTGAGTATTGCAGTTAGCTCTTTTATCTATATCATTTTGAAGTAGTTATGTTTCCTCAATTTTAAACTTCGATTCCATAAAAAATAAAATTTAGGGCCAAAGATAAGTGTTTCACTCTGTGTTTTAAGAAAATATTTGGTTTGATCAAACTAAATGAATTTGTCTGTGGCACATTAATGCTGAATTGATTTGTCAAGAATAACTAATAGACCTTTAGGCTTGAAAATATTGAGGCAGTTGTTGAAGCAAGTTTCAACTTCCTTGTTAATTGGCACAATCTCTGCCAAATGGAATGAAATTATTTCTCCTCTCTAAAGCAAATTTCATTTGTATTAATCAATATTTTTTGGCCCACCTAGCAGCCTATAGGACTTCTAGAAGCATGCCTTAGTCTTGCCTTTTGGTCAAAATTGGAACGTTCAGCTTAGAGTCAAAATACTTTTAATATTAAAAAAAACAACTCTGTTGGGCAAAAACTCTTACATTTAAGTTAAATATCTAACTAAGCTGTGGTCTTGTTTAAATTAAGGTTATTAAAATAGGACACTCACCATGATTGTTCTTTTTTTCAACCTGCATTATAACTTTTTCGCTAAAACGGGAGTTGGATTCATTCTGCACTTCAAGGGAATGGCTTCTCTTGACAACATTATCCGAAACCGACAGCATGTCTGCGGTTTCCTTTCGGTAGTCAGATTTCAGTGAACCGTCATGATCCATTGGCGATTCGGATTCGTGGCAACCATTAGTAAGAACCTCACTTGGTTGATCGTTTTGTCTTCTCCGTATTTTTATTCCAACAGAATTTTCTTCAGATTTTGAATATTTCATCTGATTTTTAGCCTTCGTTCTTGATTATGATCAATTTCCTCCTTTGGCTTTATATAAGCCAGATTTTACAAGTGTTTATAATGACTTTAATCAATGGAAACCGCGAATTCCTGAATGTGATCGCAATGAGAATAGGAGCTTAATGATATAGCCTAAAAATAAGGAAACAGAGCATTACTGGAGTTGTATTTACTGCTTTCTCGATATTTTCAATGGAGGGTTTTATATAGATTCACTAACATTTTAGCTCAAAAATGTATTCTGTTAAGTAAATATTACAAAAATTTTCACTTTCAAATGTTACGAGGTATGAAACTAGAAGTTACACAATGGTTTGTATATATGAAATAATGAAGACGGAGTTTACGAAATAAGTGTCTTTACAAACTCCGAAATGGAGGTGAAAAATAGTCAATATAAATATTAACGAACTTACGTAAATGAAAACTTTTCATACGAAGCCTAATAGCAAAAATTTGTCCCCAAAATAATGCATTATACGGTTCATCCTTCACCCAGTATTCTCCCAGCCAATCAGAATTTCGAAATAAAACGGCGAAAGTGATTGGCCCAAATCTAAATGGATATGTCCCATAAACAAATACCTCGCAGTTGAAGTAATACCACTGCTAACACCACGCAATATTTTATTAAAATTTTGCACATTTTTTAGAGCTGTATATAAAGTCAACATAAATGATCAAAAATTAAAAATTTTATATATAACTTTAAAAGTAGCTAAGATTAGTAAGTTCTCAAAATAAAACTTCCACTTTTAAATTTAATTACTAAATGTCGCATTGAAATGCACTTAAATTTTAAATAATCTTTTTATATTATTAATTTAATTTCCACTCGTTTATGAAAATTTATTTAAATCTAAGGAACTTTTCTGTTATGAGTGCATTCGTAGCAGGACACAATGAATATGAGCTCTAACTAAAGGCAAGGCCAAAATATACGCAAGAACAAAGTCAATAATTAGCTATCAGTAAGAGAAGCAGCTATTGAAAGCTATATTTTACATTATTGAATAATGATATTGCAGTTGTAAGGACTTCATGCATTAATACACCGAGATGAAATGATGACAAGTCGTTATTTCTACGAATTTTACAATATATATATATATATATATATATATATATATAAAATAAATAGAAGACCAATGGTGATATTTTAGAAGTAAGAATAAGATTTTATAATTTTTTTTAATTCAAATGTACAATTTTTATTTCCCTTTAAAAACTGGTTGTTTGATTTCCGCATAAAAATTATGTGTTTTTTTATTGAATGTCTCATAAAACCACCCTTTTAGAATTGTTTTTTTTAACTAATTAAATAAATAACCAGCAAAAGTATTTGTTCAGCAGAACAACAAAGATAGACTGTGTTACTCAGTTTATTGTTGAAATTTATGACGCAAAGAGAGAAATAAGTAAAAAATATGTATATTGGCTGAGAAGTAAGTGCCTATGAAGTAACTGCATTTGACACAAGACAAAATTTACAAAATTGGTACAATTTTTCTTCAGTAACGAAACATTTATCACCAAAAATGGAAATGTCATTGAACGATATCTTAACCCAGTGCATTGGTTCTCCCGTTTAACGAAACGCTCATTTTAAAATCCCAAAATACGTTAATACTTTACTATAGGCTTGCTAAAGAATACTTGTGAAACATTCCGAGGAAAGTGGTTAGTAATACTTGATTGCAACTTCAATCGAAGTTATTATTAATCGTTTTGCCCACATTCTGCTGATTTAAAGTTATTACTTCATTTTTTTACAAAATGTATATTCACTGAATTCAGATTCGATTAGTAGCTTAATCTAATTTAAGATCATTTCCATCCATATGGATAACAGCACATGTTCAATTCGTAGTCAAATGAGTTTAAAAATTCCTTGGTTCGTAACTTCAAGTAATTTTGGAATAGGCCAATCATTGGTTTAATAATATTAAAGCTATTTGTTTTTTACTGTTCTTCTTGAATCCTAAATTATTAAGGTGTTCCTATTTTTTCTAAATAATAGGAAATAGAATATCACTATGGTAAGGATAGAAAAAAAGCTTTCTATGTAGAACAAAAAACCTTTGACTCAATACGAGATTATACGACTATTTAACGACTTAAACGAGTAATTATTGAAAAGAAAATCGATAAGTAACTATGCGCCATTATCTCTTTATGGTGTACAATTAATCTGTACGCCATAAATAAAATTTCTGTATGAGAATCTTCAGTAGAGATTAGAAATACCATCTTCAAACAATTAAATTCCCAAAAAATAAAATTGTTGAGCTTGTTACATTTTCCCCGTTTACATTCATCATAAACCTCAATGATACACAGACCCCTAAAGTTTATACTGAAAAAAATCAAGATTTATTAAAGACGTAAACTGTGATTGATAACGCTAGAAAGCTGGAGAGCACCACAAGTTACAAATTATTCTCTTATTTAACAAAGCAGTCTCAAACCAGCGGTATTCATGCTCCCTCTTTGAACGAACATTTCCAGAAGGATCTCTTAATAAATCGACATGCGGTTGAGCATAGCTCTTTCCAGGAGGCATATATTCAAGGCATAAGATCTCAGTTGTTCTGGAGCTTTTTAAATTGCAAACATCAATAACACGGCCATGGATTTGACTCATATTTTCAAAGGTTTTAACAGAAATCATTTATAAATAAGACTTTTTTTTGTTTTTTCTCCACCACCAATCACTTAACAATACCTTGTTGGAGGAAAGATAAAATAAAGGTCAGAAACCAAATTTTCTTGCATTATGTTATTTTAAAAGGCAGATGAAAGCTACATACACTTTACTAAATGTTAGTATTTATCGAAGCATATGATGTAACAGGATTATAAATGTAATGGAAAAATGGAGTTCAAGATATGAGGAGGAGGGAGCGATTGAAGTGCATGAACGCAGATGAAATAGCAGAGACCCTGAAAGACAGGTGAGGTAAAATCAATAATCGACACAATGTGGGCGCCCTTGAAATGAATTGTAATAATACCACTCAATACGTGAAATAATTAAACTTTATGTTAAACTTGAGCGTTGGTGATTATAATGGAAAATATGATTTGTATGGCGATAGACTTACCTTCACGTGGTGCACCCTGGACAAGCATATACTCATACGCCAAAAAAGTCTATAAACCGGAGGTTAACTTCTGACTTTACACTACCATGGCTCGACTGCAAGTCATATTTGACATCTTCCACAGTACTCACCTCACCTTTTTCTACCTTTTCTAACTTCGTCTTTGAAACTCTTCTGTTCCTCCCCCTCCAATACATGCAAAAAATAAAGAAATACTTAATTTTCATGTTAAAGTATTATGATTGTCAAGGTAGTATTCGATTAAATGACAGAGAAAGATCATTCAATGGAATCAAACGTAGCGTTTAAAGGAGAGTTAAGCATTGACGGACGTAAAAATCATAGCAAACGACGAAAGAATTCAAAATAGCTGATTGTCACACTTAAAAAAATCTTAACGCAAATTTGACATTCACTATAGAGAAGCAATAAATGATAAATAAATTTTAATCAAGCTCAAAGTTATCTGTTACCTTTGATTGCATTGATTTTGTTGAATAAGTAGCTAGGCGCACCAATATTATGATTGGATGAATAAATTGGAGAAGTTTCGAAACTTCTTTATCTATGTATCATTGGATTATCCTGTTTTTCGTGATATTAAGATGAAGGGAAATTACTAATAACGTTGCGATTTAATAACCGAAATTTCCGTATGGATGTTTTTGTGACAAGAAGGGAATTATTTTACATCATTCCATCGTGTTTGAGATGCAATTGTTTGTTGACAAAGTGAACTTAATTTCAAGGGCCATAGAGATCCGAATTATTTGGATTATATTTAACACTTTCAGAGTAGATATTCTGACCTTTCGTCTGATCATAGACAATAGGCTATTTAATTGATATGTGCGTAATAGATTTTTATTCGAACAGAATATACAAGAATTCAGTAAAACATTAAGTTGAAAACCATTCTTCCAGCGCATTCCAGCCTTTATTCAACGCTATTGTTTAATTTATATTTTATTAGTACAATTTTCATAATACGACCTTGGAATTTCGATCCGAGAGACAATATTCATAAAATTTCTCTAAGATAAAATCAAGGCCAGATAGCGAGCGTATTCATGGGCTATTTTAGGAAATCCGACCCTGTTTCTGTTTTATTAAAGACAACGCTTTTTGTCTGATTGTGCTAGAAAGAAACCTGGATTAGACATCTAGTTAAGAAGAAGAAGAAGAAGGAATAAAAGGTGCATGTTTTTGTTCCACAGACGTAAAAAGAATGCCCACGAATTCAAAACACTTTTTTATTGGCCCTCAAACACAACATTTGGAATTTTACTATGTCGAGTGCGGTTCCAAATGCCTAGGGAAGTGTGGAAGAGATCAATAATTATAAACTTACAAACAATCTTAATTGAAAATCTGTTCAATATGCAACTAAAATAGGAAAGTGTTTTAGCCTAACAAAAATTAATAGGGATCATTCTAACTTTTACGAATTACGTCATTCTGCCAATTTTTCAAATTGAACTTTAAGTTGGGATAATGACTTCTGTTGGGCAAACCATGCAATGAAATTTGTAATGCTTTCTGAGCTAGAAAACTTTATAATGAATAAATTGTTCCACCACTTGTGAGTCCTGTTAAAGTAAAAATCCTAATGTCGACTAAATTGAGAGCGCAATGAAGACATTTGACGCGCAACAGCTCTTCTTATTGCTGTGCTAGCAAAAATATACTATAAATTAATTGTAATAAATTTAAGGGATACTTGAAGAAATAAGATAAAAATATTTTTTCGCAATAATCTGCTCAACTAAAACATATCGGGAAGGGATTGTCAAAGTACTGAAAAGGGTAAACATAAAGACGCCCAGAGGCCTCATTTCGTAGTACAAGAACCTAAAAGATGACCCTATTATTGCAG